AAACCCCCAGTTCTATAAGCCTGCTACGGAGGCTAATCAGAAAACAGCCGAAGACCACCAAACCCCCAGTTCTATAAGCCTGCTACGGAGGCTATGTGTGTATGGGGGGGAGGGGGGAGTTAAATTACCCAGTACAGATGACGTTTCGGAATGCTGGCTGGTGGATGTTATGAGAAATGAGGATGTAAAATTTTGGTTATGAGTTTTCCAATCCTGCAAAAGCTGCTCTGTCCATGGCCAGGGAGGTAAACAACCCAAAACAGGAGGAACCCGGACTACTCAGTATTGGTAACTTGCATCATAATAAGCTGCCCTGTGGCTGGTATGGTGTTAGCAAGGTTTGAAAAATGTTAGTGACAATGTCAGACATATCTTCAACCACATAGTATCATTGTCAAGATGACAAATATACTATTAGTAAGTAAACATACTTGTCACAAGTAAATGATAATGTCTTGCATACATTGTGTGTACTTGTTGTCAACGACAAACAAACAAGTCTCACTTGTACACATTGCGAATAGTACGTGTTCTCAATGATAGATAAATCTACATTAAGCAACAAATAATCAAGCTTACACGTTGTAAGTACATGTTCTAAACAACAAACAATTCTTACCTGCACACATTGTGAGTGATGTTCTCCATAACAAACAAAGAAACAAACAAAGAAACAAACAAACAAACAAACAAACAAATGCTGCCTACCTGCACACACTGTGAGTACATGTTCTCTATGGCCTGGTTCCACTTTGTGAGAGAGTTTCTGTACGACGTCAGGTCGAACCCTGTGATCGTGACCTTTCTCGTGATCATCGAGTGCACTGCTGCGCGCCCGTCTCGCAACATCAGGATGAACTTGGCATTGGGGAACAGCGACGATAGGTACACCGTCGACTTGTGGGTGAACGGGTCCTTATTGCACAGGTACGGCGCCGCTTCACCGTGTTTCGCGATCACTTCTAAGACAAACGACGAGATTGCGTCGTCTAAGACTTCGTCCGTGACTCCGGCTTCTTCGAGTCTGGATTTCTCCTTGGTGGACCTTCTCCACTGCACCTGCATGGCCAGTATTCTGGGGATGACGCGAGTTTCCTCCCCGCAGCGAATCGAGGGGTGTGCGTCGAGCATCACGCGAGCTAACGTGGTCCCGGAGCGGGGGACGCCCCCGATGAAGATGAGTGGCATGTTCCGATCGTACTGATAGGCACGGTTTTCCGCGTCGTACACGTACTGGCTCCCCTCCTTCGGAATCATCTTTCCCTTGTCGCACGGTGTGCTACTGCAGGGGACAGGAAACATTAAAATTTGCTTTTTTGATTGAACAACATGAAAGTAAAGGAAAGTGATCTAGATCCAGTTTTGAAGAGCTAATCTCAGATTGGTCATAACAGATACAGAAGATAGTTGCTACATACAGTATTTACAGGTTAATTGTACCAGGGACATTACCAGTAGTGTGTGTGCATGTTGAGTGAATGACAACAGCCGGGATTCAAACTCCCAACCTCTTAGTTCAGAGGCAGGGTTACTAACCACTGGGCCCACTGGGCTATACATGCTACAATGAAAAAGTAAAGGACACACTGGTCATTCTTTGCTGCCCTCATCAAAATGTAATCAAAATCAGATGAAAGCAGCCTGGCATATATTTTGGAGGGCTCTAGTTGTGTTCCAACTTCCAAGTCCTATACTGCAACAGAGCCAGGCTGAGAAAGGAAGGAGTACTGGTAAGTACAGAATCTGAAGAACTTGTCAGAAATACATGAATCTTTTATTGGAGAAGGAATTTTGCTGCATCTAGAAGTGCCGTGCTTTATCCAGAACCGTGCTCAGTCACAGCTCTGAATGGTCCATGTATGGTCCAAACAGCTTCGACCCTCACATGCTGGACACTCCTAAAGCACATGTGGAATCCTTCAAGGGCAGCCTGCAGTACCAAGGACCTGTCCTGTGGAACTGTCTTGCTGCTGATCAGCGGAAACTGATCACATCAACATCATCATTTAGAAAGAAAAACAGACTGTAGACTAGTGGAGAGGACTGAACTTGGAAAATGAACTAAATTTGCCTATAATATGACTGTGTTGTATATGGACATGTTTGTAACGTTTTTGTATATTGTTTGGTTCGATTTGCATTTTTATGAAATTGTATGTTTTAATGTGTGCCCAGGGATACCTGAAAAGCAGATCAATGGATCTGAGGTATTCCCTGGTGAAATAAATAAACTTGAAACTTGTATATCCAGAACCGTGCCGGATCCTAACCCTAACCCATTCAGGACAGTTCTGGATACAATGTTTTACTTGAAAAAAAGTACAGGTACATGAGCAGGAAGGCCTGATAACTACAGAACCTGAGAACTTGTCAGACATGTCTTATCTGTTCTTGAGAAGTTTTCACCCACTTTGAGAAGAAGTACAGGTAACATCCGTGTCCATAATATCGCCACCTTGAGAAATAGTGTGCTTAAAGATATCTTTACTGCAACATACTTTTGGTATGCACTCCTGCACACCTCAAATGTACATACCTAGGGTATGTTGCAGTAAAAATATCTTGAAGTGCACTTTTTCTCAAGGTGGTGATATTATGGACTATGGTGATATTATGGAGCAGGAATGTTTTAGTTACCTTGAAAAAAAGTACAGGTACATCAGTAGGAAGGCCTGGAAGGTGCAGAGTCCGGCCAGCATCGATCTTCGGCTGCCTCCTCTCATCATGGCCGCCGAGCGCGGGACGGGCGCGGGGAAGTTTGGCAGCACTGCGTATCCCGGCGCGTAACCCGGCAACGGTGCGTATCCCGGCAACGGCTGGGACGGGGGACCTCTCCTCGTGCTATCTGCGGCGCCTGTGGGGCCGTGCATGGGGGATCATAGTATCCTGATCCCCGGCTTCTTGAGACCTGCGCAGGTGTTGCAAACAAATGCTTTTCAGTGTAACTGTCTCCTAGGTAACGGTGACACACTTACTCCATCCCAGCGTCGGTGCCTAAGTACTGGAGTATGTTTGCCCGGGGGAAGTTGGCTTCTCGCTGATCTGGTTTAAGCCTTTAACAGTTTCTGCAGCATTTACTAGACTTTCCTCCTCTCCACACCTGTGTAAGACGTGGATCCTGGGTAAGACTGAGGATTTCCTGCGCAAACTTTCAGCCCGAAGTGCAGCTTTCCTCGGGGGCGCTTCTGCAGCATCCAAAGTTTCGGTTCCTCAATCTGGTGTTTCTCTCTGTTGCACACTTGTCTAAGACGACAAACTTTAGACAAGATAGCCTTTCTTTTTGCAGCATTCACAGACTCGGTTGTTCAATCTTGTTTTTTCCTCTCTTGCACATTTGTCTAAGACGACAAACTTGTAAGATGGCCTTTCTTGGGGAACTTCCTTCCTGAAGTTATTAACATGAGGGTCTTGTGGAGTTTCTCAGCAGCATGGTACAGCAGCGGGGTCAGCTGAGGTCAGCAACCTGTGGAAACACAACACAGGTCACAGGTCAGGTCAAGGGTCAAATGTCCACAGGGATGCAGAAACGTAAAGTTCAGGTCAAGGGTCAAATGCCTACAGGAACATGGTAGCCTAAAGAATCACAACAAAGGTCACAGGTCAGGTCAAGGGTCAAATGTCCATATTGACACAGCAGCCAAGAGAAATGCAACATAGTTTTGGACAAGGGTCAAATATCTTCAACACAGCATCAGATCATGAAGAACATGATTATCTTAAATTCTGATTGCAAATTTGAAAAAAAAGTTTACGTATATTAAGTTGTAGGAATACTATAGCTATTCTAGAGAAGACCACTGCAAGTTAGGTGCTGTTGTCAGGATTGAAACTCTCAGCCATGTAGCCAAGTTGTAGCCATTCTTTACCAAAGTGTAAAAACAAAATGTATAAACGCTGCAGATCCAGAGACACCAATCCTCCAACACACGGAGAAGTTTGAAGGTGAACCCTTAGTTCTGAAGGACACTGCAGGGTCGGAGGTTAAGCAAAGTGGGAAACCGCCGGTGACAGGAAAGACATCGCGTCACCGAGCGAGCGCTGCCCCCACAGCGGAAATCCATACTGCAGGCGGCAGGATTAGAGCAGGAAACAGATAAACCATGAAATATTCAAATCAAACGACTTTGTGGCTTTTCTCAGGCTGCAGGGGTCAAGCCGGGTCACCCGGGGTCACCCGGGGTCACAGGGGAAGGGTAATGAGGTACGGGGCATACCATTTAACTTATAGGGAGGGACAGGGTGCCTGGTCAGTTTTTTTTTTTTACATCTTTACCAACTTGTTTAATGTATGTTTATAACGTTGACCATAATTTTACATGAAAACTTTTCATCTCACTTCTTCATCCGTCATGCTCTAACATTTGCCACCAAGACCCTGAAATGAATGAATGAATAAATGAATGACTGGATAAATGGATGGATGAAGCTGTATTAATGTGTCTTGCACTTAATGCGACACCAGAAGAAAATATCAAATATTATTCTGACCTCCATTCCTTGATTTTCGTGCTTTTGACCTTGAACGGCTAGGACTTTGAGTATTGGACTACGACTCTGTTTTGACGTATCGGACCTTTATGTTTTACTGTATGTTGTCTTACTGTACGTTACTATGTCCTGTGTAATTTTGCTGGGCCCCCTTGGAAAACAGCTGATTCAAGCTGAATTGGGGCTACCCAGCCGTCTTGAGATGTAATAAATAAATAAATAAATAAATAAAGAAGAACATGGCATAAATTTTCCTACATTCCTTATTAGTCAAATGGTACCCATAGATAGACAACACTTAAGGAATTAGCAACAGAATTATATAGCACACAGCATATGGAGTTACATTCCAAATGCCGTAAAGTACATTCCAAATGCCATAAAATACATTCCAAATGCCATGGAATAGACAGTTATGAGGGATTCACTTAAATAGGAGTTACAATTGTGCAAACAACAGGCATCTACATTTTGTATGATCCATAAGTATAAGGAATTAACATACAGAATAACAGCATATGGAATGAGTCAGGCAATAAAAACCACTAAACACAATATGGGTGACTTCATCTGAATGATGTGTACATGAGAAACTAGCTATCTGCCATGTCCCATGTCCCATGTCCCAAGTAAGTAGCATACGGAATACAGAATATGGAATTAGTCAGACAATTATGACCATTGAACACATGAGGACGAATGAAGTGTACAATAATGTGAAACTCACTATCTTCCACCTCCCAAAGGAATTATCATATGGAATACGGCACATGGAATGTGGAGTCATGTTACAAATGCCATAAAATACACTACCATAAAATACACTTCGTGTATGGGAAAGGTACCTAAACAACAGAAGCAAATGCAAACAAAAGTGAACTACACATCAGTGTATGATCCATATAAACCACATAAGGAATTAGCAAATGGAATACAGCATACGGAATGTGGAGTCATGTTACAAATGCCATAAAATATACTACCATAAAATACAAGTATGGGAAAGGTACCTAAACAGGAGACTCAACATGCAAACAAAAGTGACCCATACATAATCCATATAACCACATAAGGAATTAGCAAATGGAATACAGCATACGGAATGTGGAATCATGTTACAAATGCCATAAAATACACTACCATAAAATACACTACATGTATGGGAAAGGTACCTAAACAAGAGACACATACAGACAAAAGTTACCTATACAAGATCTATAGAAGGAATTGAATATGGCATAAAATGCCATAAAATACACTACAAGTATGGGACCTACATTGTAAACAAAAAACACAAATGCATACAAAAGTAACCTAATATGCATATGACCCATAAGCCATATAAGGAATTAGCAAATGGAATACAGCATACGGAATGTGGTGTCATGTTACAAATGCCATAAAATACCCCCTACTGTTGAGAAATGCCCTGAATGGAAGGTACAGCAGCAGTCTTTTAAATGCACGTGTACGTTCCATAAGGAATTAGCATTCAGAATAAAGCATACGGAATGTGGAGCCATATCACAAGTGCCATAAAATACACTTTCAACATCAGTCACCTGAATAGAAGCTAGAACACATCTGACCACAGTATACCAGTAGTCTGTCACATAGTAGCAGGAATTAGTGATCGGAATAAACCATACGGAATGGAGCATACGGAATGTGGAGTCATATACGATACAAGTGCCATAATATCCACTGTGAACATCAGTCACCTGAATACATGTAGAAGCCAGGAGACACATCGTGACCACAGTATAGCTGTAGTCTGTCACATAGTAGCAGGAATTAGTGATCGGAATAACCATACGGAATGAAGCATACGGAATGTGAGTCATAAAAAACACTAGTGAACATCAGTCACCTGAATAGAAGCTAGAACACATCTGACCTACAGTATACCAGTAGTCTGTCACATAGTAGCAGGAATTAGTGATCGGAATAAACCATACGGAATGCTACATACGGAATTTGCCATAAAATAAACTGTGAACATCAGTCACCTGAATATACAGAAGCTAGGAGACACATCTGACCACAGTATACATGTACCAGTAGTCTTTACACATAGTAGCAGGAATTAGTGATCGGAATAAACCATACGGAATGCTACATACGGAATTTGCCATAAAATAAACTGTGAACATCAGTCACCTGAATATACAGAAGCTAGGAGACATCTGACCACAGTATACATGTACATGTAGTCTTTACACATAGTAGCAGGAATTAGTGATCGGAATAAAGCATACGGAATGAAGCATGCGGAATGTGCCATAAAATAAACTGTTAACATCAGTCACCTGAATGGAAGAAGCTAGGGGAAACATCTGACCACAGTATGGGTAGTCTCACATAGGAGCAGGAATTAGTGACCGGAATGAAGCATTCGGAATCCAGCATACGGAATGTGGAGTCATACATGTGTATTAGCATCTGGAATGTGCCATAAAATACACTGTTAGCATCAGTCACTTGAATAGAAGCTAGGACACATCTGACCACATCACCGGTAGTCTGTTACATAGTAGCAGGAATTAGCAATCAGAATAAAGCATACGGAATGAAGCATACAGAATGAAGCATACGGAATGTGGAGTCATATCACAAGTGCCATAAAATACACTGTCAACATCAGTCACCTGAATACATGTAGAAGCTAGAAGACACATCTGACCACAGTATAGCTGTAGTCTGTTACATAGTAGCAGGAATTAGCATATGGGATAAAGCATACGGAATGCTACATACGGAATGTGGAGTCATAAAAAACACTGTGAACATCAGTCACCTGAATAGAAGCTAGGACACATCTGACCACAGGATACCAGTAGTCTGTCACATAGGACAGTGATCGGAATAAACCATACGGAATGCTACATACGGAATTTGCCATAAAATAAACTGTGAACATCAGTCACCTGAATATACAGAAGCTAGGAGAAACATCTGACCACAGTATACATGTACATGTAGTCTTTACACATAGTAGCAGGAATTAGTGATCGGAATAAAGCATACGGAATGCTACATACGGAATGTGCCATAAAATAAACTGTTAACATCAGTCACCTGAATAGAAGACACATCTGACCACAGTATACCTGACAGTGTAGTCTTTACAAATAGGAGAATGAAGCATACATTTGTATGGAATGAAGCATACGGAATGTGGAGTCATATTACAAGTGCTATAAAATACAGTATCAATATAACAGTCACCTGAGTATAAAAGCTAGGAGACACATCTGACCACAGTATAGTCTGGTAGAAGTCTTAACACATAGTAGCAGGATTTAGCAATCGGATGAAACATACGGAATAAAGCATACGGAATTCTGCATGCAGAATACAGCCCGCTCCGGTGCCTCTGGGTGGATGTGAGACCAGCTGATGGCCGGATATGGGCAGGGTTAGCTGCATTCTCCGGTTCTCATCAACCAGAATTTTTTATTTTGGTCAAGTTTGGTGGTGAAGGCACAAGAAGAAATTTTCATGTATCATTCTATTTATTTAATATTATTATTATATCTGGTAAATCATACTCGGATGCAAAATATAAAAATCTTGATTCAAAACATCATTCATTTCAAGCTGCACCAATTC